TTTCACTGTGAAAAACTGTCAATTTTCAAGAAACATTTCGATTTATAACCTTTATAACTGTGTTTATAAAATGTAAAAATGTGACATTTGACAGTTTCCCCTGTTGTTTCATAGATGGCGCTCTATACAAATTTTTGATTTAAATCATTTTAAGATATTAATAACTATTTGTCGTAGAAAAAGTATAGTATACACTCATTAACTTAAGCACTCGCTCGCAAGCTCGCTCGTGCCTAAATTAAATTCGTGTATAAAATGGCGTTTATCAAACTTGATACATATACATATATATTAGTATATATACTATTAATGCCGAGGTGCATATTAAATTTTATCCTAAATCACATTTAATAATACTAATAATTAATGTTGATGATTAAATCAAATGTCATTTGATGCGACGGTTATTATATATTTGCGACGGTTATTATATATTTGCCGCTGCGGCGATTTTTTAATCTAATTAATACAATTATTATTTTAATTAAACAACATTTTATGAAAGGGTCCAATCGACCTCCTCGACGGTGCTTTTTTAATATTATTTAGTTGCTGCTGAGAAGCAGTAGACACATCTTAAAATGTATAATAGGTTGCATACAATACTCGTATTAAATCGGCAGTAAAGTTCTACTTTACTGCCGATTTATTTTATTTTACTGCCGATTGTTGACTACTTTACTGCCGATTTCGAATAAAAGAACTTTATTTTAACAATTGTATGACATTTAACAATTGTCAACTAACTTAAAACTAACTTCAGCCCGGGACTAAAGCCAAAACTTCGTCAATGTGTATTTAAAAGGGGAGCAGAAACTAGAATATTATGCAACAAGTTTTAATTAGGCACGAGCGTAGCCTCATAAAAACATAAAAAATGTGTGTTCTAACAAATAAATTTAAGATTGTAATAATGGCCATATATTCTTTCTGCAATCAATTATTAAACAATGCCCGGCTAAGAACAAATGAGAAAACTTAATTTCGCAAAGTAAGATTAATGTTCCTTCGACTTCAATTCGCGAAACAAATGTTGCCGGTTCGTGTTAAATAAATTCGCAGCAAAAACAATAATGGCACATGAAGTTTTAATGCTCGCGGGTCCCATTGACCCTTTAGTGCAAAAGGTTCAAACCTCGGTTTTTCAAGACCAAGCTTTGGGAATAGACGCGGCCGCTTTAAAATCCCACGAGCTCATTTCGGTATAGAAAATTATTAGAAAATTTGCTCGACCCGCTTGAATCCATTTTTAACCGCACTGCCAGCTTTTCGCCCCTATCTTTATATACAATAATAAAGCGTGAAATAAAGTTGATTTTTTGCGAGTTTTAGTTAATAATTTAAAGTTGGTGTAAACGCCATTTTAGTCACGAATTTAATTTAGGCACGAGGGAGCCTGCGAGCGAGTGCTTAATTAAATGAGTGCCTAGAAAAGTTAAACGAGGTGCATACTATACTTTTTCTACGACAAATACTTATTATCTTAAAATGATTTAAATAAAACATTTTTATAGAGCGCCATCTATGAAATAATAGGGGAATCTGTGTGTCACCGTCAAATGTAATATTTTTATATTTTATAAACACAGATTATAAAGGTTATAAATCGAAATGTATTTCTTGAAAATTTACAGTTTTTCACAGTTAAAGTAGAGAAAATGCTTTATGAGCACTTTACAGTGGAGTCCGTGCCCGAATTTAAGTTATAGTTTACTGCCGGCGAAATTAAAAGGTCAGTACAATGTTCATATAAACTTTTCAATTATTGGCGTTGAGAAACTATTTAATACTTTTGTATTTTTGTATTGAGATAATAAAATAATTTTCACATTTAGTAATATTTTACAAGAAAGGCAATTTATTTTAACGATTGTATGACATTTGCCAACCGTCAACTAACTTAAAACTAACTTCAGCCCGTGACTAAAAACCTGTTGCTAACTTCAGCCTGTGACTAAAGCGCCATAAAGCCACAACTTGTCAATGTGTATTTAAAAGGTCACTTAGTGTCATGGAAACATGTACGATAATGGACCTTTTAAAGGTGAAAGTAGACAAAATAAATTACGGCTTATGGCGTTTTAGTCACGGGCTGAAGATAGCTTTATTATTATTGTCAACGCTTACTACCAAAGTATTCGATTATCTCCTAAACTGAAAAAATAATTTAGACCAATGGGGTAAAGTTTTTTACATCCTAGTCTGTAAAACAGCACCCAAATTACTCTAAAAAAGTTATTGGCCATCTTGTGGCAAACAAAAAATTGTATTTTGTCGAACTATAAATATGTAGATATAACTTTTTTTAATTTTTTTAGTGGCAATAAATCTTTTACCGTTAATTGAACTCAACGTTTCGCAGAATCAAAATTAATACAACATATGTATAATATTATTTTTTTATGCGCAATATATTTTAACTTAATTTTATTTATGGACTCAGCTGATTTTAAAAATAACATTTTTACCTAATTAAATTTAGTTTTGTCAAAATTTTTTATGCTTAGTATCCTTAATGTTTTATTTATTTTATATCGATTTGTTTCTTCTATTTTCTGTGTAAATCAGTGTGGATGCGGCGATGTTTTATTATGGGGTGAAATCATATGTACTTTTTCCCATGATGTTAACAAAACAAAAAAGATCCTATCAAATTATAATCGACATGCGTTAATTATTGATTTGAGTAATTTTGTTTTCAATTTTGTGTCACGAATGTCATTTAATTTCGCTATATACTAAAAAAAAATTTCTGACAATAATAAGATATCACTAGGTAATAAAAAGGGGGCCAAATTTTGTTTGTATTTGTTTTCTGAGTATCATGTCTCACTTTAAGAGGGAGAAATGGCAAAAATACTTGACGATATTAATTGGATTTCAAATTATGTGCGCATAAAAAGTTAGCACATGAGCCTTTTAGCTTTATTTAAATCGGCTGGACCAAAAACCTATTATTCTTAATTAAATCTAAATGAACTGGCCCAGCTGTTAATTAATATGACTATGTACAGGTAAAATATTTATACATAAACCTCGGACAGGCAAAAAATTAATTAACATTATTGATTGATTTATTCAATGATGAATAATTAATTTCCATCTTTTTGTGTGCGCTTTTTAAATAAAATTTGCCGATGTGTATATTCATTTGTAGACTTTTAATCAGGGGCGTAGCTACCCCGGCTAGGGGGGCCCATATCATGCGTCAGCAAAATAAATTTTACCCACATATTATTAAAAAAATTCATTTATGTCATAGGATCAATATTTACCTGTACATACCTAAAAAAATATAGGTACCTACATTTATTAAATTATAAGGAATTGGTGAATGATAGCTTGAATTAATAGCTTAAAATAGTTATTTATGTATCAAGGCAGTAAAGCCATATTTTTTTATCAAGAATGTGGAAATTATTTGCAGAGGCGAAAGCCGAGGCAAATAACCACGTGAGTGATAAAAAATGACTTTAATGCCGAGGTGCATATTAAATTTTATTCGAAATAACATTTAATAATACTAATAATTAATATTGATGATTAAATCAAATGTCATTTGATGATCAAATCAAATGTCATTTGAATGTAGGAAGTGTCTACACAGCAAAAAATTAGCCCGTGTAAATTTTCTAGAGTACCTGGTAAAAATATTAGAGTTAAAATCTAGGGTACACGTATATATGCATTATTTTAACTCTAAAATCCAATCTTATATATTTTTCATCTAGGTAACTCTTTTTTAACTCTAAATTTAGATTAAATATATTTTTATTATTTAGTCACAATGTAACTCTATTTTTATTATAAAAACATTTACAAAATTAGAGTAGATATTTTCACTAAATCAATTAAATTATAACTTTTGTAGAGTTATTTTCAAATCTGGTACATGGTACAGTTTTATCTAAATATCTTTAATAAATTCTTATTAGTGCATCTTTTAACTGTAATATGTGTAGATTTAACTCTATTTAGAGTGATTGGCTCACACGGGGTGTTTCTCTTTCCATTCTACTAGCGTACATTTGTTTATTGTTTCATTGAAATTTGGCAGTGTGACAGTGATTTTGTGTGCATTATTAGTATTAGTACGTACATTATTATAATAAATATTATTGTTTTATTTATGTATTTGGGGTTAATTGAATAGTTAACAAGTTGCAAAACAATCATTAATAATAAAACGTCTTAAATTCTTCAAGAATAGGTATTTTATAAGGAATGTGTAGTATACAAGAATTATTCTTGTATACTACACATTCCTTATAAAATACCTATATTATAAAATTATCATACTCTATACTAAAGAGTCTATAGGTGTACACGATTATAACCTACCTTAATATTTTATAATACATTTTTTATAAATTTAATAATTTGTTTGTATACCCTTTCCCATTAAAAACACGATATAGTGTAAATTAAAAATTATTTACACTAAATATATTTAAATATAATGAATCATTTAATCTATTTTTTGTTAATATCTTATTATCATATAGTAGATTTAACACTAAAATGTGTAAATTTGTCTCTAGATTAGTAAACATTTTAAATTATTTAGACAAATTCAGTGCTAAATTAACCATTTTTAAGTGTTAAAATAGTAATTTAACAAGAGGTTAAATAACACGATTTAGAGTAATTTTAACACTATGATGGTTATTAAAAATAGCACTATTTTTGCTAAAAGTTACACTGCACTGCACACTACTGTTAGTGTAAATATCCAACTCACTCAACTCAATCGACATGGACAGTGCTTTTTAAAAAATATTATTTAGTGCTGAGGGGCAGTAGACACATCTTAAAATTTATAATGGGTTGCATAAAATACTTGCATTAAATCGGCAGTAAAGTTCTACTTTACTGCAGATTTCTTTTACTTTACTGCTGATTGTTGACTACTTTACTGCCAATTTCGGATACAAGTTTTTTTTGTTTGCCGCCCCCAAGATTTTTGATACAAAAGTTTAATACAAAGTTTTGGTTCTTACCTCAAAACTGATCGTCCCTGTGTTTTTCTTTTTCATAGTGTTGAAAACGTAGTGCGCATAATTCGTTGCATCTATAACACAACACAACAGATATGTCGATCATAAATTTTATCCCATTATCAGTGCGCGTTTGCAAACTAAGTTATCAACTATTACAGACACTCGCGCTGATAACACACTAAATAAATGGACAAGCGTATAAGGATAAGCACTTTTGTTTACCTCCCAAGGGAAAAAACTGGGCAAATATATGCTTGAAAGATTCCTCATCCACCATCCCGGTTGGGCACTCCTGAAATAAAAGCCAATATAAAGATACTTGAACAAAGAAGGTTAATACAAAAAATTACCAAATATGGGGAATGCTTCAAATACTCAAATGAAATTAAATAACGCATATTTACAAAAAAATAACGATAAAATTACTTATCACTTTTTAACATATTACCCTATAAATATTATTCCTTTTTTGAATTCTCATACAATTCTGGGGCTAGTATATTTTGAATCTTTATATCGTTCAGACATATGGAGTGACCAACTAAAATGTCTGTATTGAAGAGATTTATGTCTCTTTTATTTCTCTATAAACTTCTAATAAATCAGTTGGATGAATCACCCTGTATATAATTAAATTAATTGGGAAGTAAAAAAAATCTTAAATTCGATTATATTAATTGTTTTACAAAAATGTCAAGGCCATAGAAACGTTTTTTATTCTTAATACGTTTTAGGATAATTGAATTTTTATACCCATTAAATTAAATCACCTTTTTTCTAAATGGTTTTTTTACTTTTAGAGCAGTATACTGCGTATTAAGAATATTAAAAGGTTTCTACAACCTTTTATTTTTTTGTAAAACAGTTAAAATGTATTCAAATATATTTTATTTTGTATTTACTACTTGTCCGTGAAGTAAAAAATTAAGAATAATAAATAATAATAATAATAATCAATAAAATATATACCGTATTTTCACGCAAAAACAAATATTTAATAATGATTTTATATGTTCGACTAAATTATTAATTTACTGTTAAAACTCATCACCCAACGCCAGTGAGTGGGCGACTGAAATCTTTAGAGACATGGTCACCGTGCTGCTATGATGCGTCAACTGTTTACACCAAAAATGAAAATTCGGTATAAAATAACATGAAGTAAATAGAGTTCGAAACAGCAAGCTACATTATGGACTTTATAAGGAAACTTTAGGTGCAATGTACATTATATTTTACCTTAAAGTTTCGTTACATAATTTAAAACGCTTAGCAATAAAAATAGGCGAATTTAATTATGGTGTAAAATAAACGTTAGTTTGAATATTTTATAACTTTTGTTATTTTCCATTCATGTTTGATATTTTTTTAGCGTTCTATAATTTAAAATTTATTATTGTCAACATTCACTACTAAAGTAATTGATTGTAGCCTAGGCTGTAAAAATAATTAAGACCATTCGGGTAAAGTTTTTAATCTTAGTCTTACCCATTTGGACCAATCAAAAAATTCGACCACTGTCAGATGTATCTAACCTCACTTTTTACTTTAAATATTAATTATTATAATAGTACTTTTTATGTATAGTTTAACAAATAAAAGTATAAGTAAGAAACTTCTTAGCCTAATGACATAAATAACTGTTAATTTACTTTAAATATAAAAACCGTATAGGGGGCCAGGGGGGCCCTTCTGCACAGACCGCATTCGGCGCCCTAATTAGTTGACAATTTTTTATCAAATAAAAAAATGTTGTTTTTAAGAAAGTTCGCCCCCAGCGCCCTTTGACCCACTGCACGCTACTGCCTGTATAGGCGTCACATTTAAAGTGTTATTAAATGGAGCCCGCATCCATCAATATATTTAATGAATTATTTCCTGTTAAATTGTATTAAATGCCCTTTATAAGACCCTTTATTAAGTTTGCTGTAATTTTTTGTATATTATTTGAATATGAAAGAATATGCACTTTGTTCTTTTTGAACATAAGAGTTTTTATTCGACTTTGTGGCAAAAGCTTTTAAAATGGACTGATACCAATATCTAAGCGAAATGTAGGAAATTCTGACAGCTTAATATAACAGAGAAAAAAGTCGCTTTAACATACGACGATAAGATATAAATAAAATAGTTATTTGTTTTCGGTAAAATCAATAAAAATGCATTATGCATGATGATGAACTTACTTGTTTGAAGCCTCTGTACATCAGTTGAATTTCTTTTCTGGTGAACTTAGTTTTGGAGGCTAATTTCTGCAATTCCTCCGGCCTATAGCGCGAAATGTGAAAATTAAATTCATCTGTTTCGTCTTCTGGAAAAAATGTAGACATGAAAATTTATTAAAACGAATTGTTGCCATTAAAAATTCATTCATTTTTTATTGACGCCGTCTAATTGCCGGCACTCGTTGCCCTCCTGTCGCATCCAGACGGGTTCGTTATATAATTGGTCCTTATACAATACTTGCCCGGGAATATGTGCTCTGCATATTTTTAAAACGCGCGACACAATGGAATTATCAAAACGAAAAATAATAGCATGCCACGCTTTTAGGCCAATTCTGCAAAATGGAACAATATTTAAAAACAATCAATTTTCTCAACCCTCAAATTCGCATCATCTGTTTTTACTGCTTCACAATAATTCTTTTTCGTACAAAACTTTGTCGGAACATTTTTATAGCCTCATAAAATCCGAAAAATTTAATAAAAAACTCCACCTTGCATCTACGAGGTGTGTTCAGAAAATAACGGGAATTGTTAAATTTCGCGGGTTCGGAGGGTCCGGTTGTCATAAAATTTTCTTTATTATATTGGTATACATGTCCCCGAGGTATGATAAAAACTTTAGCTGTTTTCATCGTTTACTTTGTCTGTGACAGCCGCTAAGGTTAGATGTGTTTTATGAGCTCGGCAATTTTCGTTCGTTAAAAGAAATGGATCAAAGAAATTTGTATCCAATTTTGCTTAAAAAATTAAATAAATTTTGAGAAAAGTTAACAAAGGCCTATAGTGAGTCTGCTATAAGTAAAACAAGAGTTTACAAGTGGTATAAGATTTTCCAAGATGGCCGTGAAGACGTTGAAGATGACGAACGCTCCGAACGCCCAAGCACATTAACAACCGATAAAAACATGGAAAAAGTGGAAGAAATGGTTATAAACCATCAGAGAAGTCGCTGATGATGTTGGTATATCGATTGGCTCATCTCATGAATTTTTTTCGAATGTTTTCGGTATGAAACGGGCCTTCATATTCGCCAGACATGCCTCTGACTTTTTCCTATTCCCAAAAGAGAACCTTAAAGGGCCGTCGTTTTGCATGACATTAAAAGCGCATCGCTGAAAGAACTAAAGGCTATTCCAAAGATCGAGTTTTAGAAGTGTTTCGAGTATTGGAAGAAGAGCTGGCACATGTGCATAATGTCCTATTTTGAAGGCGACAATATTAATGTAGACGATAAATAAATATTTTTTTCAAAAAACGAAAATTCCCGATATTTTCTGAACACACCTCGTATATCTATGCAGAACAATGAAAAGCTGTAAATTCAACAAAAACTATTTTTTTCGTTTCACAAGTATAAATGGAAATACGAAAATACCTCGAAACATTATTTGCCGAAACCCATGTCACATAACCACTACTATACGTCGTAAAATGTTTAATCTCTGTAAATTATAATTTCACCCATGAGATACAAACTCGCTTTGCATCAATTTATCTCAAACTACACGTAATCACAATATGGTCCAAATTGAATTTTTTTATCTTATTTGTAACTACTTATGCTTCATTTTTAAGCACAATACTTAAAAAAAATAGCTTAAAAAAGTTCAAGAATTCTGATTTGTTTTTATGTTTATGATATATTTCTCATAGTGTTATGTGTTTCAAACAAAATTTACTTGATTAAGTTGGTGTAACTTTTGGTGCTGTGTATTGTAGGTTTACAACTATTTCCCATTGCAGGAAATTTAGTATAGTAACTATGAAAAGAAGTTAAATTCAATATTATCGGAAAAATAAATTGCCTTACATTTTTCTTTCAATAGGCATAAATTGCGATAATTTTATTTTTCGCAAAACGCCTCACAAAGCGTTTTCCATTCACGACGACTATCTACGGCCTTTTTGCTTGACTTGACAACACACTAAAAATTATTAATCTTCTTTTTGCCGTTCCGTTTTTCTCGTAAGAAAACTACGAGGTATCTTAAAAAGTCATTAATAAATGTCATGAGATTTTATCACCTGCTTAAAAACTTCTCTCCAAACTAAGGTGTCAAAAAAAGTATTAAACATTTTATGCCCCATAAAAGTGTGATGAGTTACAGAAAAAATCTGTTTCATCAGTCGGGGGTTTATCTGTGGAAAACAATATCGTTCATGAGATGAGAAAACGTGCTAAAAACTGCGTTTGCGGCTGAAGAGCAAGACGAAAAAAAGATAACAAGTGCCATTTCGGAAAGAAAAATATACCTACCTATCAGACTGTTAAAAATGATGGAATTCATTACTTAAGGAGACATTTTCAATTGACCTGCTTGGCCGGACAGATTTATTTTTAAGAATTAGGAAAAGTTTTTATTTTAAAGTGTACGATTTTATTATACTATATAGTAACCCTGCGGGGCTATAACTCTTTCGATTTAAAAAAGATTAAGATAAACAAACAAACAAAATGAAACATGGTTCTCGCAGCAAAACAAACCTAATTAAATTTTACATACAAAGTACCAACAACTAACAAATATTTAATAAACTTGAGCCATGCAGGAAAATAGGTAAACAATTATATTACACACATATGCAGGAAAATACGTAATGTCATTATTTTATAGCACATAAAATTGAAAAATACTTTTCAGAAGGCAAGGATAATAAAAGAATTCCCCTGGATAAATCATTTCGTATTACTATCGATCGCGAATTTAATTTAATAATGATATTATTAAATTATAATATTATTTTATTCTAGGTCGCAATTAAATATTTATAAAATTATTGAATTAGTTTAAAACATAGTAAAATGTTTTATGCCTTTTGGAATATTTGATGGCATTCACATATGGATAGAATAAGTATGTAATAATGTGTAATGTATAAATAATATGTAGATAAAAAACATTTAGTGTGGCATGCAACAAATGAGTAAATGAAAAATGACAAAAACAACAACAACATAGAAATGTAAGCTTGTAATACCCATGTTGGAAATTAGTGGTTAATAAAATTCCTCCGTTTTTTTATTTATTTTAAAAACGTACATGGAATTGTATTGAGGCCGAACACGAAAGCACATCACCCTCCGAGATTCGTATGCATACTAACGGTTTTACCCTGTTCGGCTCGAGCTTGGGTATAATGTGGTGCGCATACAGCATTTCAGTTTGCTGTGGACGCATAGGCCTCACTCTCTTGCCAGCCTCCACTTCATAGCTGATTCCTAACTAGAGGTGGGAAGTTCGATTCTTTTCGGTGAATCAATTCTTTTAATTCATTCTTTTAAAATGATTCGTTCATAAAGATTCGTTCGCGACTGATTCACTTTCTGGTTCAGGTACAGATAATTAACGAACAATTCAGGTTCTACCGAATTAATGACTTGGTTCTTGAATCGTTTGTAATTTCGACTTGTATTGGTTGAATCGTTAAATGAATCAACGGTTGTATTATTAAATTATTGGATTTTTATTTTGCTTACGTGTAAATTAACCTATGGCTTGAGGAGATCTGCAAATACCCCCCCTAATAAACAATCCATGGGTTATTACGATCCTAATTGTTTAAAATAAATGCATTCAAAAAGCCATGTAAATAGAACTAACATTTAAATTTAGCGCAACGGAAATACAAGTGACATATAAAAGGTAGCGTGCCATTGGTTAGAAAAACTCTCCTGATTAAGTGGGAAAAGGTAGGGGGAAAGACGCAAGTGACGGGCAGGGGAGAACATTCATTCGAGCATTGGAGATGAGCCGTGCAGAGACGAGAGGTGCTAATTTGTGTGTGCAGGAAAGTGGTTAAAAATGTAGGTTTGTACATTTTAAATAACTAAATTATTGTAGTATAAATATTCCCGAGCATTTTGGTATAATTAGTTTACACAAACACCTTGTGTAAAGATAAATATTCGATCAATTGACTTGGCGTCATCGTTCGATCTATTACGCTGTAATGGCTGTCGTTTAGAAACCACGCCCGTAGAAATTGACATGAATTAAATTAAGTTTAAATTTGGTATTTCGTATTATAATTTATATTCTAAGTTATAAACAATTGGTACGTGGATTTTATCTAATAAAAGGCAGGGATTTTTAACGAGTAATTATTAAATTAAAAGAGCCTGAATTTACGGGGATTTCATCAAATTAAAATAGGCAGGACCGTATTCGATTTAATTAAGCTAAATGTCAGGACGGTACTCGGGTTTATTTAATTAATTTAAATAAATATTTCAAAAAGGGAATTTAACGTAAACGCTGTGTAAATTAAGTGTATTTAATATCGATTTTCTTAAATACGGGATTTATTAAATTGTACTCGCAGATTCACATTTATGTCCCGTAATTAACTAGTAATTTTACCAGTCATATTTAAATATTTGGTATTACATTTGGAGTGAGTGGCAACAATGATTGTGCGATAACGACATTTGATTTATCACCACTTTCCGTGGAGTCCTGACACAACGAACCCATTTTGAATTACCATCCTGTAAATTTTAAGAGGTGTGTAAAGGTCTGATTTCATCTGACTGTGCGACGCCTACATTGTTTTTGTTATTTGTGTCATTTTGATTACCTAGTATTTTATGGTAATTATCAATTTATTAAAGTTTGCCGACAAATAAGGCATAATAAACAATGACGAACCCTCAATTGGAATGACCTCGAAGCCGATTATTATTTACTCCCTTATAAGCGGTGTTTAAAATCTGATTTCATCTGACTGTGCGACGCCTACATTGTTTTTGTTATTTGTGTCATTTTGATTACCTAGTATTTTATGGTAATTATCAATTTATTAAAGTTTGCCGACAAATGAGGCATAATAGACAATGACGAACCCTCAGTTGAAGCGATTTATTTACTCCCTTTTCTAACAGTTGATTGAGCCTGAACTCTAAATATATTACATGAAAATTTCGTGTAACAGTAAACTTAAATTCAACAGTAAATAATAATACAAAAACTTTATTTGGATGATGGAGGCCTATTGCAAACGGAATGCTTGATGAATAAAGTTAAATTTAAAATACAAAAATAGAGACTAAGACTCAATCTACTTTCACCAAACAAACAAACAAACAAATAAACAAACAAATCAGCAAAAAGCGAAGATAAAAATTAAAAATGAAAAACGAGAGCCAAGCTCTAGTATGATGTATTATTTATCTAATGTTATTTATATATTTATTTATATTTGGGTTGTAGTCGCAGTAAGGAGATATTGTGTGGTTTTAACGGTTGTAGGAGGTCCTTTTCTTTCAGAGTTCACTAAGTTAAATGTCGTTTGGGTTGCGGTTATTTTTGTTGCTCTATCCAAATAAATATCATTATTGTTTGTAATAAATTTTAAATATTTTATACGTGTAACTCACTCCCATAATCCCTCATTTTGGAAGGTTTTATGAGAGATATTAAATAAAAAATAAACGGGAGCCTTCCGGGTTTTTGACCTGAGTTCAAACGTAACTTATTGCCTTTTATTTACTGTATTTATTATTTCCCTTTTTAATACTTTCCTCATGAATACAACACCTCACAAGTACCTTGGGTTACTAAATAAATGAGCTTTATTACCGTAAGTATTAATTTTATTTATTTGTCGTAATTTAATATAACATTTGCCGTGGTGTTATATTTCACTTATCACTTGGGGTGTAACTTTTTACAGATTCTTTGCTGGGGGGGGTGTGTACGCTTACAGATTGGTGCCGTGACCAGGATAACCAGGATAATTTAAAGAAAAATTTAATTTAATTTTTTTTTTGACGTTTTGAGTTTCTTAATTTTGTATGCTTGTTGAATGAATCTGCCAAAGAATGTGGGGGCGCCTGAAGTGTGTATGTTTGACCAAGAACTAGACGATACTGACATTACTGACTAGTAGGACCTGACTTTGTTAAGAAACTCATTACGTACTTGTTTTGTAAAACTGTTATAGAATTGCTTTATTTTACTTTCACTAAAACGTACTGCTTTGGCGGTACAGATTGTTGCTTGTGCAAGGGATGAGGTTCGTAAAGTTGTATTCATGGAGAGACACATTTTATTATATTTCTTTTTATTTTTCTTTTGTTTTGTTTTCTGTTTTTTTTTATTTTTTTTTGAGGAGCTGCTTTGTCCGGTATGCATATCGAGATGGATCACCATTGGACGTTCAAAAATTTTTGAAGTAGTACATCGTCACCGGGAAAGCATCAAGTATGGAGGCCGTTCATTCATGGGGAATGTAGACATGGTACACCTAGAGTTGAGAAAACACCGCCCATTACAGTACAATGTCTTGGAATCAAGGCACACGCAGCCCAAAACTTAGCCTTGAATGTTGGTAGTAAAAATGACCCCAATGGTTCTGGAGAGGCATCGTCAGCTATGGAGGGACAACCACACATAAATGGTCCAACGCCAGAAGTAATTATGCAGAGTTCTGGAATGCGAAATTTCGTCTCATTGGATCCGGAGCTGATACAACTAATCATCGAGTCGGTTAACACGCAAGTATTTGCACAGGTTTCACAAAAACTTCCCAAATCCCAAAGCCTGCTTCTCAGACTTAATCACCAGTTAAAGTAACAAATTTTGTTGATAAAATCAAGTACAATTTGAAAATGCCTGACATTTTGCTTTTTAAAATCCTTTACTCAAAATATATAGTTTGAAAAAAAAAAAAGTGTTGTTCATATTACAACGCAAGAGGGAATCAAACTGATATTTGACAAAACGTACAACCTGTGACACAAATTGGGGAATTTAAATAATACTGAAACGCACTTCACGCGTTCAGCGATTTTGTACGATTGTGCAATGGAATTTTGTCAAAATTTTATGAATTTTGTAAAACATAATGTTTCTTGAAATACGGTAGAATTTTGGTAAAATACGGTTGCACGGTATATTAAGGGAAAACGGTAGACCTACAGTAAAAAAACAGTAGACCTGTTAACGCTGCATCTAACTCACAACAAACACTTTCATTATACTAATTCAAAAGGGGGGTTAAAAGTGTTACTTTCGGATCTGCACCAAGCTGGTTCCTTATCAACACTTTGGGGGCGTCTGAGGAGATCTGCAAATACCCCCCCTAATAAACAATCCATGGGTTATTACGATCCTAATTGTTTAAAATAAATGCATTCAAAAAGCCATGTAAATAGAACTAACATTTAAATTTAGCGCAACGGAAATACAAGTGACATATAAAAGGTAGCGTGCCATTGGTTAGAAAAACTCTCCTGATTAAGTGGGAAAAGGTAGGGGGAAAGACGCAAGTGACGGGCAGGGGAGAACATTCATTCGAGCATTGGAGATGAGCCGTGCAGAGACGAGAGGTGCTAATTTGTGTGTGCAGGAAAGTGGTTAAAAATGTAGGTTTGTACATTTTAAATAACTAAATTATTGTAGTATAAATATTCCCGAGCATTTTGGTATAATTAGTTTACACAAACACCTTGTGTAAAGATAAATATTCGATCAATTGACTTGGCGTCATCGTTCGATCTATTACGCTGTAATGGCTGTCGTTTAGAAACCACGCCCGTAGAAATTGACATGAATTAAATTAAGTTTAAATTTGGTATTTCGTATTATAATTTATATTCTAAGTTATAAACAATTGGTACGTGGATTTTATCTAATAAAAGGCAGGGATTTTTAACGAGTAATTATTAAATTAAAAGAGCCTGAATTTACGGGGATTTCATCAAATTAAAATAGGCAGGACCGTATTCGATTTAATTAAGCTAAATGTCAGGACGGTACTCGGGTTTATTTAATTAATTTAAATAAATATTTCAAAAAGGGAATTTAACGTAAACGCTGTGTAAATTAAGTGTATTTAATATCGATTTTCTTAAATACGGGATTTATTAAATTGTACTCGCAGATTCACATTTATGTCCCGTAATTAACTAGTAATTTTACCAGTCATATTTAAATATTTGGTATTACATTTGGAGTGAGTGGCAACAATGATTGTGCGATAACGACATTTGATTTATCACCACTTTCCGTGGAGTCCTGACACAACGAACCCATTTTGAATTACCATCCTGTAAATTTTAAGAGGTGTGTAAAGGTCTGATTTCATCTGACTGTGCGACGCCTACATTGTTTTTGTTATTTGTGTCATTTTGATTACCTAGTATTTTATGGTAATTATCAATTTATTAAAGTTTGCCGACAAATAAGGCATAATAAACAATGACGAACCCTCAATTGGAATGACCTCGAAGCCGATTATTATTTACTCCCTTATAAGCGGTGTTTAAAATCTGATTTCATCTGACTGTGCGACGCCTACATTGTTTTTGTTATTTGTGTCATTTTGATTACCTAGTATTTTATGGTAATTATCAATTTATTAAAGTTTGCCGACAAATGAGGCATAATAGACAATGACGAACCCTCAGTTGAAGCGATTTATTTACTCCCTTTTCTAACAGTTGATTGAGCCTGAACTCTAAATATATTACATGAAAATTTCGTGTAACAGTAAACTTAAATTCAACAGTAAATAATAATACAAAAACTTTATTTGGATGATGGAGGCCTATTGCAAACGGAATGCTTGATGAATAAAGTTAAATTTAAAATACAAAAATAGAGACTAAGACTCAATCCACTTTCACCAAACAAACAAACAAACAAATAAACAAACAAATCAGCAAAAAGCGAAGATAAAAATTAAAAATGAAAAACGAGAGCCAAGCTCTAGTATGATGTATTATTTATCTAATGTTATTTATATATTTATTTATATTTGGGTTGTAGTCGCAGTAAGGAGATATTGTGTGGTTTTAACGGTTGTAGGAGGTCCTTTTCTTTCAGAGTTCACTAAGTTAAATGTCGTTTGGGTTGCGGTTATTTTTGTTGCTCTATCCAAATAAATATCATTATTGTTTGTAATAAATTTTAAATATTTTATACGTGTAACTCACTCCCATAATCCCTCATTTTGGAAGGTTTTATGAGAGATATTAAATAAAAAATAAACGGGAGCCTTCCGGGTTTTTGACCTGAGTTCAAACGTAACTTATTGCCTTTTATTTACTGTATTTATTATTTCCATTTTTAATACTTTCCTCATGAATACAACACCTCACAAGTACCTTGGGTTACTAAATAAATGAGCTTTATTACCGTAAGTATTAATTTTATTTATTTGTCGTAATTTAATATAACATTTGCCGTGGTGTTATATTTCACTTATCACTTGGGGTGTAACTTTTTACAGATTCTTTGCTGGGGGGGGTGTGTACGCTTACAGGCTTTTCCGGTGCAACAACAGCACAGCTTACATAAAAAAAACAAAATACTAGTACCTAGGTTGTATTGGAAACTTTTGAATCAAAAGAGTATTTTGATATTTGACAAAAAATTCCCTGAAATATCCCTAGAAATATCACCAGTTATTCAAAAAGACCGACATTTTAGCCTAGTGATCCGAACCTAGCATTTAATTCAGTGCTTGTAACCAAGTTTATATTTATTTTTAGTTCACTCGTGATTCAATGATTCAAAAAAGAATTGATTCTTTTACAAACTTTGTTCGATTCATTCGGTTCATTTAAATGATTCGTTCTTTTTGAACGAATCAGAATCAAACTTGCCACCTCTATTCCTAACCAGCTCCGACAGCACGAAAGCTGCCCTTACGTTCCCCTCAGCTTCTTATTCTTTCATTTATATTCTTTTTGTGCTTATGCTTAATGCCACGCCATGCCACTCACCCCCACATCAATTTTTAATACGTATTGTGCAAATTTTTAGATTCGGCTGTAAACAAGTAATAAAGTTCGAGCACTCCTAGAATAATATTTAGACTGAGCCACAATAATCTAATTAAACTTGTTTAAAAATAGCACGAAAACAAACAAGGCTAATTATTAGCTGGTGTATTTATAATACAAGTCAAAAAGTGAATTGTTGACATGTTTTTAGAGTAATGCCAGAAGAGATATCGTGATCGTGATTGAATATAAACTCAGAGCGTTTTGGTATAAAATATTACCTTAGCTTAGCGACACACACTGCTTAAAATCACCGAAAAACTGGAGAAAACTCCTAATAATAAAGTTGCACGAACAATTTTTTTTTTCAATAGAAACCAGACTATATTTTTTTCTAAAGGTTTCTGAAATGCCGAGTGTAAATTCAACGTCAGAATTGCTCCATCACATTAGGTGTGGAAAAATTCTTGTGGTGAATTCCAAATCGAAAAAAATTGGGACCCACAGAGACTCCTTGTAAATCATTCATAGCTATGTAAAATAGCTTGATGCATCACTCTAAGTTTATTAGGAAATTCTTGTTGAGTTTGATATTGATTGTTATTTAATAACTTCTTAAACTCCTAATCTTTAACCTTTTTGGTTGCACAGGACGCTCTTCATCTTTTTTTTATAGAGCTTTTTTCACCAATACCAGGCAAAATCATGCAAAACTAGTTTGATAGCTTATTTTGAAGCTGAAAGATGGCGCTAGATGATCAGTAGCCCAATATTTGGTAATTATTGTGGCCATCTTTTTGGTTTCGTGATAACCCCCACTTTCCCCTACTACTTTTCCCCTTAAAATTTCTTTTTAAAAGGGGAAGGGTGGAAAAATTCTTGTAGAAGATAAATGTCGAATTCCAAATCGAAAAAAATTGGGACCAGCCGAGACTCCTTGTAAATCATTCATAGCTTCTGTGAGCTATGTGAAATAGCTTGATGCATCACTCTAAGTCTATTAGGAAATTCTTGTTGAGTTTATTGATTGTTATTCAATAACTTCTTAAACTCCTAATCTTTGACCTTTTTGGTTGCACAGGACGCTCTTCATTTTCGTACGATACAGCTTTTTTCACCAATACCAGGAAAAATAAATCGTGCAAAAATAGTTTGATAGCTTGTTTTGAAGCTGAAAGATGGCGCTAAATGATCAGTAGCCCAATATTTTGTAATCATTTTGGCCATCTTTTTGGTGTTCGTGATAACCCCACTTTCCTCTACTACTTTTCTCCTTAAAATTTCTTATTGAAGAGGAAGAGTAGTGCTTTTAGATGGCATAACAACTTATGATGAAGCACTTCTGAGTTTAATTTTTTTTTTATCTGGAATTCGACATTTCCTGAAAGATAGCTTAAATGTGTGGAAATATTCTTGCGCAAGGTAAATCTCGAATTCCAAATCAAAAAAATTGGGACCCACCGAGACTCCTTGTAAATCATTCATAGCTTCTGTGAGCTATGTGAAATAGCTTAATGCATCACTCTAAGTCTATTAGCAAATTCTTGTTGAGTTTGATATTGATTGTTATTTAATAACTTCTTAAACTCCTACACTCAAAACAATAAATGCTTAAAAACAAGAAAAATGACATTTAAATTAAAACAAGTCGTTCTTCAAAATGGCCCAAGCACAAATTATTCTTATTTTGAGAATAATTGAAGAATGTTTTTTCTTATTCTGAAGTAAAGAATGAAAAGTTTAAATTAACACATCATTCTTAAAAGACGAATTACAAATGCTAGCTTTTAGAATTAACTGCTTAAAGGTTAACATTTCATACATTCTTGATTTACTGAACACAATCTTAAATTTAAAGAATAGCGTTCTTAATTTTAGACTAAGTAATTATTAACTTTTGAATGAAAATGTTTATTTTAAGAATAGGGATTTTCTTAATTTAATAAACACATTCTTAAATTTTGAGAATAAATATTTAATTTGAAAATAAAAGGTTCTTAATTTTAGACTTTAAAGATTTTAATTTAAGAATGGAGATCTACTTGATTTAAGAACAGTCTTATATTTCAAGATTTAATACTGCTTAAATTAGAAAAAATCGTTCTTAATTTTACATTTTAAAATTTTCAAATTAAGAATGAAGATTTTTTTTATGTAAGCATACTTACTTCTTAATTTAAAAATAAAACCTTCTTTATTTTAAGCTTTTGATTTCCTAATTTTAAAAGGAACATTTTTAATATCTCAGTTATACAAGTTGATAATAAGATCTTTGGTGATTGCGGTTATGTATTTTGTATTAACATGCATAAACCCATTTGAAAAAGAACTTTATATTTCTAAAAATTTAACTAAACTAAACTTCTGCATAATCCTGGACCTAATCTTCCTAAATTTTGTATTTCTTATATTTTTTTATTGAAGGTGTATATATAGGTTGGTAACAATGCTTAAAACTATGCTTTCATTTAAAAGTAAGTTTATTTAATGCTTTATACATATTCACAATAAAACAAATCAACTTTAAAATAAACGTACATACACTTACGTAAAAACTTAATAACTAATGAGCATCCTAACAATCCTATTTAAAGTAGTAATATATGACTATATACAGAACGCAAATTAAGATAGTCTATAGACTATCTTAATTTGTGATGCATTTCGTAAATTTTCCATACCCATGGGTATAGTATATGTATATGTATTAAACAAAAATTTGATATATGTCCGTTAGACATAAAACAACAAATAAAAAATGGTTCACATTTGTTATAAAAACTTAGCTAAGTTTTCTACATTTAAACACTATACAATTATTTGGTAACAAATGTAAATAAAACGGATTACACTTAAAATACCTTAGAGATTTTATAACGAAGCTCTTCTTTCACACCTACATGACACCTGTTTTTGTCGTACTTTTCTACTTTATAGGTCCATAACACTGCAAAAGCTTGATTATCAAAAAATAACAGTTCTTTAACTATCAAAGTGGAGTTTGTTAAATTTTTCATATTTGCAGTAGGTATTTCTCTATTCACTAAGTTATCACTTCACGTGTTAACAATTCCCTATTAGAAGTGAACATAATTAGGGTCTCGACTCTAGTATTTTCGGGAAAAACTAGCCCGAAGCGCGGTACATTCCAATTTAAATATCTATAATGATTTCTAGTAGGCAATCGCAGATGCTTGTGTGTTTCTCTATGGTTTTAACACTCACCAACACATCACAACTGAAAATGCGCTCAATAAACACTAAAAGCTTTAGTGAGTTATTACCGGCTGTTTCATAAAAAAGATTTTTACTCTTTATTTGAAAATAAAATTCTTAAAAACTAGAAAATCTATTTTTAAATAAAGAATGCCATACTTGTTTTAAAACTGTCCATACACAAATTCAGAATGAACATTCTTGAACAATTGAAGTTCTCTATTGAAGAATGCATTCTTAATTCAAAACTTGTTGTATGATAGTTTTAAAATGATACCTTTTTAAAATAAGAATAAACATTCTCGCAATTCTTGAAGTTTTTCATTGAAGAATGCATTCTTAATTTCAAAGTTGTTATGAAATAGTTTTAAAACTAAGCGTTCTTAATACTGAGAACAAGCATTCTCACAATTCTTAAGTTCTTTAATAAAGAATGCATTTTTAATTTAAAACTTCTTGAATGATAGTTTTAAAATAGGACGTTCTTAAAAGTAAGAACAATAATTCTCACAATTCTTAAAGTTCTTAATTAAAAACTGCTTTCTTAATTCAAAAACGCTGTTTATTAATTTCAGAATAAGATGTTTTTAATGTAAGACCTCAAGTTAAACTTATTCTTATTTTTTTAATAGCATGTTTTAATCTATTTATTCTTAAACTAAGAATAAAATATAGTCAAATTAAGACCTAAAAACTAAAAACGAAAATATTATAGCTAAAATTGAGATTTTGCTCTATGCTCCATTTAATGCATGTAATCTTAAAAAAATCTAGGGAAGGATTTCTCTGAGTGTAATATTTGACCTTTTTGGTTGCACAGGACGCTCTTCATCTTTGTACAATACAGTTTTTTTCACCAATACCAGGCAAAATAAATCGTGCAAAAATAGTTTGATAGCTTGTTTTGAAGCTGAAAGATGGCGCTAGATGATCAGTAGCCCAATATTTGGTAATTATTTTGGCCATCTTTTTCGTTTCGTGATAACCCCCACTTTCACCTACTACTTTTCCCCTTAAAATTTCTTTTTGAAGAGGAAGGGTGGAAAAATTCTTGTGGACGGTAAATGTCGAATTCCAAATCGAAAAAAATTGGGACCCACCGAGACTCCTTGTAAATCATTCATAGCTTCTGTGAGCTATGTGAAATAGCTTGATGCATCACTCTAAGTCTATTAGCAAATTCTTGTTGAGTTTGATATTGATTGTTATTTAATAACTTCTTAAACTCCTAACCTTTGACCTTTTTGGTTGCACAGGACGCTCTTCATCTTTGTACGGTACAGCTTTTTTCCCCAATACCTAATATTTTGTAATTATTTTGGCCACCTTTGTGGTGAACTTAAGCTGTGTGCGGCAGCGCGTTCGACCAAATTATTTATTTACCCTTTTGGCACTTTAATATATACGTTTTGCCATTTATCATGCCGAGATTCAGAAACGCTACACTGTACCAGTATCTCAAATATTCAAATTTGAACTACCTGAAAATTACTTTGCCTAACTTTGTAGTGTTCTAAACTAAGTTCGCATCAAGACATTATTATTTCACGCCGCCACACTATAAAAACTTGGTGACTATTTAATAAACCAAATTTAAAACGTTTTTTGTTAATTAAAAGACCGAACAAAGCTTGGAGGTGAAGATAAAAATTTTTCGTTTCAATTGAGAGGCAGACGTGTTTTTGTTATTTTACGCTTTATTATCATTTTTACTTCCAGTATTTTAAACATGGACAAAACCTAACTTGAACAGACCACCTGACTGATTATATATGGCCAGGACAGGATTCAGACAACAATTTACTACCAAACGCAATTTCGTATGCTTTCACCTGACCTTG